AATATAACGTGTACCACACATTCTTCACCTGCGAACACTTCTTGATTTCGCGCAGAATGTTGGAAGAAAGACACGGAGACATAACTCCGAACAACATAGTTGGGGTAATGATCTCCAGCGCAGAAAAGTGGGAAGCAGTTGCGAGATACGTGAAATTCGCACTCCGCTGCAAACGAGAGGACGGTTGTCTACAGAGGACACCCGAATGAAACGACTCTACAAAAGAGCAGCCCCAAGGCTCTAACAGCGCGCTCCTGCATCTGAAGACATGCAGAATTGCGGTGCCAGATGCGGGATTCTTGCGCGGGCGGTGGGAGTTGGGGTTTTAGTGGTTAGCCCAACACGCTTCGGTGGGAGTCCCACACTCGGGGAAGGTAGTATAGAGACTAGCGCCCCCGGCCAGTGCATAAAGCATTTCCCTCTCCTACGAAAAAAAAATTAAAAAAATAAATAAATAAGTACTATTAGAAGAATAAATATAAATTTTATTAATATTAATTATTTTACAGGCAAAGTTTGATAATCGCAAGCTAATGGAAATCAGAACAGTTACAATAATTCAAAAATTGCAATAAAAAGCAAATAATTTCCAGAAAAAAATTAAAAATTAAGTAAAAAAATTTCATTTACTAATAACTGAAAAAATATTAACAAAAATACATATCTATAAAAAATGTATTTTAAAATATGTATTTTTTTCGTTTTTAACATACATATGTGTTTATATGAGTTTAAGAAAACTTTTTTTTTTTAAAGCTTGGAATCTTGATTTGTATTTGGGCTCTGTTGACTGTTTCTGCAATTCCAGCTTCTTGTAAGTCCTCCAGTACTAATGTTTGGTTGGTTGAAGTCTGCTGTATTTAATGCATTATACAACTCGGCTCTCATTTGATAGCACCACCTAATAGCACTAGCAGTACTGTGCGATAGTAATTGCGCTGCCAATTTCACCTTTTGCCGACCAGAGTGGTGAACCGTGAGGTGTTCTTCTGTTAACTTATGAACTATCGATAAGTCAGAGCAGGATGCACAACGCATTGTCTGGCTGATTGTAAGTGGCACAACAAAACTTCCACGGAAAACGAAGCCGGTGTCTAGAAAATTATTCCTTAGAAGCTTCAATAAATGTGGCAGGTCTGCAAAAACAAACACTTTGCCACATTCTGTCGCTGGATTTAGAAACCATGTTTTTTCTACAAAACCCACAACATTTAGAATTAATTAAATCAGGTTTATTTTGTGAATATTTACCGACGGAAATCTTCAATTCTCGCCAAATCGCTTGGTTACCAGAACCCATGTCGGAGACTATCCCAACGACCGGATAGCCAGCTTCTTCAAGCTCACCGATCAATTCGTTCAAAATAACTTTACTGATTTTGCAGTCGAAAGCATAAAACACAGGCTGCTTCCAAGATCGCCTTAATCCTCGGGCTATAACCATTTGTACATAGCTTGCCGGTGTTCTTACAGTGTCCGTGAGTAGATCGTGCTCATACACTGACGAACTTTTCATTTCATCGAATGCCAAGATGCAAATTCTATCGGCTAGATCACTACTGCACGAGTCTTTCATGGAGCTAATGACGAATTTCAAGAAGTGAAACTTGAGTTTCTGCAACCATCTTGCCAGAGTCGATACAGACGGTAAGGGCATTCCTTTATTATACAAATGAATGTAAACTCTTGGTCCTGCAGAATGCAAAGGAAGGGCCCAAGAGATGTCCTTATATTTCCAATGCAGGTTCTTGTTGGGATAAGTTAGCTTCCGTACTTGTGTTGTTGTAAAAAGTGAATGGGTGGCCATTTTCAGCGCCTCCAATTCTTCAATTTTCTGTCTTAGCCCTGCATTCTCCATATCTAATACTTTTAACTTATTTTTCAAGTTATAATTTTCGAAAAACGGAAAGTCCATGTTAAATCTATTGAACAAAGGGGATTTCGATTACTTAAAAGAAATGTTGCTTCTTATATTTCGAATACACACTCGGTTTGAGTTGAATTCTCTTTTATTATACTTCCGACTGATAATGATTCATTGCAAGAAAATAAATAATCTACCTTCATTGGAACGGAGGTAATCTTTAAACGCCTACGCATAGCGGTGGCTTCAAAATCCGTCTCTTCACCACAGGCGTCCGACCATTTTTTCTTGTTATTTCATTTTTTGGCACGTAGTACAGTTTCATCACTGACCCATCCTTTGCAAAGCCCAGTAATCAGCGGTTGTGCTGCTGAGTTGGGCGATCGTTCCAAAAGCTGCTATTCAATAGCTTGTTTTGTATGGAAAAAGGTTTCACATGCAATTACTTAGATTTTAACAATTTAGAATTTTTGTGAGAATAAATTAAAATGTTCTGACATTTTCGAGACCAAATAATTTGAAAAATATCAAATCATCTGCTCTACTGATACTACCTGTTCAATGTGCCTTGACAGTCCACCATGATACAAAAAAGAAGGTAGCTTCAATAAACAACTTATTGATTAAAAAGCAGATTTTTGACAATTGCTCAATTGTGAAAAATTCGAAGCGGCGTTACCCAATTTAAATTTTTTGGTGGAGAGGATTTTATATCATATATTGAGGATTATAAATGTAAAAGTTGTATTATCCTTTACCTCTTAAAAATAGTTAATATCTTATCTTAAAAGTGTTTAGATATCACATTAAATATTAAATATATATATTTTACTGTTCAATATTGGTGGGGGTGGGAAATCAAATTAATACTATGTCTCCATTGAGAGATTTATCCATTAAGATTTAATAAATCCAGTTGATAAATCACAACCGTCTCCATTACCACAACGAGATATGTTTGACGTTCACATTTTTAAATATTTGACGTTTGCTTATGTATGATTTTATAAGTACAGTTGCGGACATTGATATACAGACAGATAAAAGGAAGGTACCAAACGGAATTTCATTATATGAATTCTGAATATTATTGGCTTCTTATTCGTGGTGAATATGTATGTATAATATATAGTTTGGAAAGTGGAAAGAATGGTACCATATTCCGAATCATTTTCCCGAATTTAAGAAAAATTATCAAAACGGTAAAAAACATTTGCGGAAAGAAAGATTTGTGTAGA